ATTTGTAGGATGGAAATATTTTTGATAGTTCAGATTTCAGCAGTAACAACATACTTCGAAGATGAAAGATGCTTTGTAATGCTTGAAATTGTTCCCTTAATGCTCTCATAAATCAGTTTCAAGAAAAGTTTCCTCTTTTCACATGTCTAAACGGCAAGCCGTTTTATTGCTTGTTTGTCTGTCCATTTATTATTTCTAACTAAGATTGCCACATCATCACTCCTACCAACTTCATTAGCTGATGGCGATCGATGATATCCTCTATATCCATGGATCAACGCTTCGTTTCTTATCTTTTTCCAATAATTTTTTGCTTTTGTAGTTGTTACTTGTCAGGTAACTAAATGGTAAGGATATCAAATATCAAATCTTATGCTCATTTTCATTGAAATATCATTTCGTGATACGGTGTATCTATCATCAATTACTTTATGCTGCTTTTATTGCTCGATTTTCTCTTTTCATATCTTTTTTTAAATTGAGTTCTCCATTTCCATTTGCAAGGTTTTTTCCTTTTTCCTTTCATTTCTGAATTCCCATTCGACAAAAGCGTTCGTTTTACGGTGTAAATTTTCTCATAATTTTCGTCGTGCTTTTAATATCAGTGCGTGCTAAAAATAAGCATGCAGGTTATGGTAATTTTATTCTAAAAGTGTGTTTCAAAAATGATTTCCCAAAAGAGAAAACTGAATAGTTTCAGCTCCACTGATATTCCCGTTCGATCAGGATATCTAGTAGATTGGCAAAGACATAGTTTCAAAAGGGTTAATGTCAAAAAAGCAGAATTTGATTGGAGAACTCAGCTATCTATCACAAAACAAATTTAAAGCCAGTGAAGAAGTCCAAATGTAGTATGTGTGTTCTTTAATACCTCATTCAGAACATCTAAATTTGTCAAATCCTTCAATTCAATCACATTCTCAATATTAACTATTTCATTAACTGTATGCTCTATCAATTTTCATTTTTTTTCTGCAGTAAAATTGGGTGAGATTGATGAGATCACAGAGATGAATAGTTTTGTCGAACAGAAACTCAGTTAGAAGCAAAGAAAAAAAAACTACCAATCATCGAAAATGAAGAATTATTATGGAAGACAAAAATAAGAGTAACAAAATGCAAATAATAAAAAATAACAGGTAGCATTTACATCAGTAAAGTAGTCTTAATGAATATAAGCCAGGAATCTCTTATTGTATTGCTTACTATACACAATTTTGGATGGATCCCAGAAAACATAAACTTCTCATCAATTTTTTTCTCAATTCTCCAAGGATTCAAATTTTATTTAATCTTTCAAAATTTTACATTTAGAAATGGAAAGCAATTTTTGGTTAAACAGAGACGATACCAAATTCTATTCTATTCAAAATTGATTCAGCGAAACAAGATTAACTTCATTTTTGTATTTTGCTACCTCGAGAATGATATTGGATTTTTCGAGACATTTTGAAAATTAAGAAAAAGAGCCACTTATTAGCTATACTTTTCGTTAATTTAAATATTTATTTATTCCTCATATTTACATGAATTCAAGGATGCAACATGGAGTGGATATTGTTTGTACTATTACCTAATATTGCTAATGCTTTGTTTCCATTATCTCGTGTGCAAAGTGTCGCAGTACAGGGAATACTGCTGTGTGAAGGCAGACCGTTACCGGATCATCAGATAATTCTCATTGATCACGATAGTTTGTCGCTTCAGTAATCGTCATTTCTAAAATCATTTCAAAATTTTCATAAGCATACTTTCATAATCTACGTTTTATTAACTGTTTTACCATTTTATAAAAGTATTAAAATTTATGCAATTTACCAAGACGAAATTTTGCAAAGCTTTTATAAGATCTAAGAAGATAAATTTATGATTCTAATTTCGCGTAAAATGCACCTTAAGAAGATCGTAAGAGGATTCTGCATTATTTATTATGACGCGCTGTTGATATCTACTTCACTTTTTAATTTGTTATAAAAGCATTTATTTAGAATTGGATCCTGATGATATAATGGCGTCGAATGTAACGGACCAACAAGGACATTTTTTCTTGCATGGGAACGAGAGTGAATGGAGTACAATCGATCCAGTGCTTATCGTTCGTCATAAATGCAACGACGGTGGAATTGTAAAATTTTAATCTCTTTCATATTTTCATCTCAAAGAACAACAGACTTCATAAAAAAAAACTGGAATGCAATTCTTCAAATCTTGTATATTGCTTTTTCAAGCCCTCATACAAAGCACCTGATTGCATAGATTTCAATATGATGTAAATTATAATCTTTTCTTGTCTACTCATGCATTATTTTGACTTTAGCCGTGCGACCGTGAATGGAGACTGGGAATTCCAGTGAAATATATAAGTAATGAGGGAGATGTGCAGCACATCATGGATATGGGTATCTTGAATGCTGAAGTGGTCTTCTATGGGGAGAAGCGGGATTGCTTATTGTAATTTACTCAAATGATATCCCAACAATAACATTATTTGTAATTTATGAATTCTGCTCTATCGATTAAATAAAGAATGAATAAATTGCTGCTTTGTCAAAATTAGATTAATCATCTCTATTATTATCATCAGATATCACATTTAACATTCTTTACATTCTACAAGCATTTGATAAATTGTCAAATACGAGTGTACCGTTAATGTATAATATTAATAAAATGTTAGTTTACCACTCTATCACATAATCATCAAAAACCAATATTATAGACAGCAACGAATAGATAAAATGAAATGATTTAATAATCGTTTTTCTCTCTATCTATTAATAATAATATGATCCGATCATAGCGTTATGCCAAATTAAATATTCATCACTAATTAATTAAGCTTTCCATTTCACCGCCGATTACTTAATTATTACAACCATCAAAAACGAAATGATTATATCATTAACTGTCTATAGCTGTTGCATTTCAAAAATCTCACCTAATGATACAGACACATTTCGACGAACAGAGAGGCTTAGGATGTTTGGACAAGCGTATTACACAGCGACTGACAAGCTACATAACATTGACAGCTGTGAGCGGCTCCCGATCATTGTGATCGTTCTCAGCGATTAGCAACACTTTTCGTGCTATCTTCCGTATCCAACTCGTTGTAATCCAATGCAATCTTTTCGTTAATGCATGCCTTGATAGACCAGTTATGTCATCGGATTACCCCATTGTCCAGTTATTGAATGATGATTAATTAAAGTAGCAAATAATACAGGTTAGGTCTGCCTCTTAAATATTTAAATTTGGCAGTTATCACACCTGAAACTATTCTACATTTACTACTATCATTCTTCTCTTTTCTTTCCTTCTTTTCCTCGCTAAGTGCTAAGTACAAGATTTTCCAGAAACTTGTATGGAAATATTTGTAAAATTTCTACTTGTCAAATTTCGAGGATTTTTTTGCAAAATTAACACAACTTAACTAATCTATTTATTGAAGATTTTGCTCCTCAGATGGGAAATTTAGATTGGCATTACAATCGAACTTTTCTGGCTCTTTTTCTCGCCTTAAGAACGAAGTATTGTATATTAAATGCTTGTTAATGGCAGTTGTTGTTACTCAGCATTGGTTTTCACCTTATAAAACGGATAATTTTTCAAGAAATGATCAAACTGAATAGAAATTCCCAATCTTCAGTTTTATAATTCGAATAGTGCGAAATTTAAGAAATAACGAATAACTGTGATTGCAAGGATTTCAGAACTAAATGATCTAACGCTTTTTATTATTGATTATTATTATTAAGTTATGTTTACTTAGGCATTTATTTTTACAGTGAACATAAAATAAGTCATTGATAATGTAGTAATAGGCACTGTACCAAAAGCCTCTTAAGTTATTAACAATTAAAGCTCTAAGGCTTTTCGATATCATATCTTTTATTGAAGAAATTATAAAGATTTGCCAAATTTCGAGATTGAAATTTTTGGAAATATAGTTCAAAATTTACAGAAAATGTGGCTAGTATTTTCCCTGGGCGCTTATATTATCATTGGAATGGTGCACACAGCTAATGCATTCCTCGAACAGAGCGTACGCGTCAAGGGACGACTTCTATGCGGTTCTCAGCCAGCTTCCAGTATCCTGGTGAAATTGGTCGATAAAGATAATGGTAATAAAGTTTTGTTCTGCCAGACAATCACATTTTGTTATCATCCCGGGATTTCTCATGAATTTTACGAGTTTAGTATAAGTGTTATAGATTTTAACCTTTGATTTTTCATCTGGTTCCAATTATCAGAATTATAAAATCGCTATCCCATATCACTGTGATGAACAATCAGATCACTTTGGGCTTTGTTATTTACAGGTGTGACTTCAGACGACTTGATGGCTTCGTCTTATACAGATAGTGGTGGCAAGTTTGATTTACATGGCAATTCATATGAATTATCGACGATTGATCCCGAAATTCGGATTTATCATGATTGCAACGATTACGGAAGAGTACGTGTTATTCACGTTCTTTTAAAATAGATTTGGAAAAAACAGTATTTATCAGAAAGTTATTGGCAATATTAAGGGATGAAGCAAGTACATGTCACAGAAATGAATGAATCATAGGATTAGAAATTTAAACATGTTTAATTGAAACTGTATGTCCAATTTATAATGACAGGTATTGTGAATTTTTTCTTAACGCTGATCCAGAGTTGAAACGGAAACAGATCGGGAATTTCAAGTGATGAGTTGTGTGCATGTGTACATCTGTGTTTGCTCGGAATTCGGAAGAACGATCGTTTACGAGCCGATTGAACGACAAAGAAGGAAAATTGCAATATTGTATATATTGGGGAGATTTGAACTCTTTGAGTTGAGTACAACAAACCGATGAAAAGCATAAGAGCTCTGGTACAAAAATGAAATCTACATGAATGAGGTTAAGACAAAACTAAATGAGTTCCGCTTGTTTCCGGAATCCATAGCAGTGTTATAAGTGAATATTGCGGGAAGCTATTATGGTATCACTGTTAGCACTACTCTGCTGCAGCTTCTGTAGAAAAGGAAAAAGTCTCATATTTGGAATGGCTCAAGTACAAAAGCAGACAGTATCGAAAGATTTAATTTGATAATTAGAATGCTTTGAAAGAAAGACAATACGCCCTGATATAAATGAGTTAGCTGCATTGAAATAGCTTATGACGGCTACTGAATGTTATGCTGTCTTTCGGTCACGGAAATCTAACGGATGAAGCAGGCTACGACGGATAAAAAGTAGGCGAAGGAGTTGTTCAGTCGAAGTGCTGTCACTGACCGGAAAAGAGAACAGAAAAGTGATGGAACCTTTTAATATCTTTTTGGATGATTCATTTAAAAATATGCTTTATCATTGGATTTTAGATGTTTAGACTATGTGTAAAACAAGCAGAAAAGAAATCCTGAAAATGAATCAAATCAGAAACGAGAGTTCCGTCACTTCGGAAGGAGCGAATACTTCTATAAAAAATAAGCGGTTGTTGGTACGGTCTTTATGTTGATTAAAGACGTTTAACTATTTAAAAAATGATGAAGGAAGATGCAAGAGCAATGAAAGATCCAATATAATTAACGAATAAGAACGCACTGTTGGGGACAGGATTAGGGACCAAGTTTAGCTGTTAACCGACTGACACTGAAGCCCGAACAGAGTGCTCAATGGCAGCATCAACTCTTCCGGTTACGTCCAGCTAGGCATGGTGGAGATGCTGAAGAGAGGAATGTGAAAGGACGCACGGTCGTTCTTACTTCAAAGAGTCATCGAGAAAAAGTAAGAAATCCTTGGCGATATAACTGGAAATGACAACGACCTTCCATTATTTTGGGAAGAACGATCTGATAAGGTGTTGGAGGAAAAGATCAAAATTAATGCTGACGAATTATGTCGCCATCGACT